CCATCTGTGGGATGCAGGCAGCACACCAAACCACACACCCCTCCGGTCCACGGAAAAACCTGTCTCCGTGTAACCGGTCCCTGGTTCCCAAAAGGTTGGGGACCTCTGGTGTAGATGAACAAGGCTGAGTTCCTAGACAAAATTGAGGCATGAGATGAGCCTTCTAATGACACAAGCGCCAAAAGTTTGCAAACGCAAGGAATCTCAATCTATGCCCGTCATTACCATGAACAAGGAATTTCTGTTTAAAGGCAGCTTTGCTCCAAAACAGAGCAAAGGAGAAGGAGGAGGAGATTTGCCTTGGCTGACTTTGTGTAAGACACTAGCTGGGAATATTGTTTGCATAGTAGTTACAAACATTTCAAGATGAACTTACTTTTGTCATTTCAGGATGGAAAATCAAAACACAGCCTGCTTTTGAAATTCACACTCACCCAAATTTCATAAAGCAGTTGTTTAAGACTTTTTCAGAGAATTTTGTTTAATACACACTTATAAAATTGCATACACTGAAAAATGCTGAAAACGTTTGCAGCTATTTGTACCAATAAAATGCAGAAATGAACTGCATTTTTTGGGGGTACAAATGTTTGCAACTTTTTCAGCATTTTTCAGTGTTTTTTTTTAAATGCAGCAGTGAACTGCATTGTTTTTTTTAAAAAAAAAACTTGCATGGAATGCAGGTGGAACAATCTTGTTATAAAAATGTAAATAAGGGGATGATTGGGCTCAAAACATTTATTTGAATTTTATTTTTTCATCTCAAATGAAAGTTAAAACAGGGCGAACAGCACATTCAATAGGTGAGACTTCTTCATCTTTCTCTATGAAGTCGGCAAAGACATATTTTTAAATATCTGAAATTGCAGACCACGGGAAAGCCTTACAAAAGGCTTTATTTCATAAAACCCAGGCACTTAACAATCAATGCCTATCTGTCTGTAGAGAGCAAGATTGAGAGGGGAGATTTATGGTCTTGGGGGCCAAAGGAAGGATCAGCCCAAGATTATATGGAAGAGTTAACAGGCAATCAATGAAAGCATATATTATGTATCTCCAGTAATACATAAGCACACTTTTTAAAGGTGGTGCACATGGATTTGGCAGATAACTATTAAGTGGGAAAAATATTAGCTAAGACAGTTGCATACTCTGTGTTCACAGCACGGATTCACGCACAAACCTGTGTGTGCCCCATCAACCATCCTGGGTTTCTCTTGGCAAAGCTAGCTTTGAATAATTCTGTCAAAATAAGGGGAAATCTAAAAAGTGGCTTCTGGTGCATCACAAGAAATATCCCTTTAGGAACAATTCAAAGAAAAAAAATTACACTATGTGTGGCCTTGCACCAGCTCTTGGAGAGAAAGAGAGGGCATCGCTTGCAATTCTGAAACAAGCCAAGGAAGGCAGCCGAAGCCGAAGCCCCATGTATATTTTTAAATGCCCTAATTATAGTGAATAAATCCCTCTGTTTAAAAACAATGGGGGACATTTGCCATCCACATACAAGTGGTGCTCCTGATTTTAAAAGCCATCACACTAGAAGCACAGCAATCTCTTCCCACCCACGGCATATACCGTCCTCCAAACAAATCTGGATGGAATCTCAACATGTCTTTCTAACTTGTCCCACAACCATTTTCTTCAATTCTGCTTTCTAGGCCAACAAAGGTGAGAGAATGTTTTCCCTGCTTTGTTTTCCCCCACATCTTTGACCAGGTAGCCACGTTTGGAGGAGACTAAGGAAGAAAATCAACCTGACTGAAATCTATGAAGTTATTATTATTTTTTCCCCTCAACCTTGTTAGGTTCACCAAATCAAGGAATAGTCAACAAATCCTGCACTGGTGAAACTGGAAAGGTTCCCCCATCCAGGTCACAGAAGAGAATCATTTTTTGGTCTATTCGTGTCAGAACCATCATAATTAAAATAAGGCGTACTCTATGACAAAACATTTAAAATATAAAATACAGTACAAGATTAAAATATGTACACATTAAACAGATCTTGCCCAGAAACTAGCAACAATAATTGTGTTTTCTCACGCTGCCATGAGGTCCTCAAGTGTACACTGATCAGGATACAAAGGAGAGGTCTACATATGTGTTGTTGTCTGCATGTCACCACAATCACAAAGAACAGAATCCACCAGAGAGCCTCATTTGTTTAGAGTGTCTCTGGACCTTGTTGTACCCGTGCGTAGTCTATTCAACTTTCGTCAGACTTTCGTCAGACTAAATGCCAGCTCCTCCACTGGTTCCATCCCGTGTTGGATCTTTGTAGCTTTCCATAGCATTCCTGTTTCCCGTTTCAGATGCTTCCAAAACAGAATCAGGCGAAGACCAAGAAAGAAGGCCGTTGTCAAAAACATATAGTGCTGAACAAACCGAGTGGGACTAGGAAGGCATTTCAGGCACAATGCATAGTTGGTACATTCCAACATCCCCCAAATGCAGAAAAATTGGAAGTCTTTTTAGGATGGCCATTTGCATTTTATCTAAAGCATTGCTTTCTCTTGCCTGTAACTCCCACAGCAGGAGACAGGCTCAGAAACCACTTTTAAGTCCACGTGTTAACATGTCGACATGGAAGATCCATGACCAGTTCTCCAGATGTCTTTTTCTTGACTTCAAAGCAGCTATGAGGCACTGTTAATTTGATCAGAGAAACAAGGAGTGGGGGTGAGGGGAGAGAAGGAGATGGTTAACCCCTTTCCTACCCTGCTGTTTTCCTGATAGGAAGCACCAAGGGTGGCTAGAAACTGGGTGGAGGTCCTGGATTGGATACAACAGAAAAGGGTTAACCCCATCCCTTTCCAGCAGCCTTTCCCTGATCAGAATTAGTAATTCAGTGGATGTTCTGAAGTCAAGCATAACATTCTGAGAGATCTGGTCAGAGTTATCATGCATAGCTGGACCCCAAGGACCAAAATAGAATAAATCAAATTATTCTTCTCCCCAAAGACCTATATTATAATTAGAAGGCTCTGTCCTAGCCTTCAGTCTTGAAAGAATGGAGGGGTGGGGAAATTAACCTTTTCTTTCTTGTAATGGCCTTTAGGAAAATCTCTTATTTGCCTTTAGAAGGAATCAAAGCATGGCATGTTAGCACTTCATCAGCTTGTTGACATTTTTTACATGGGGTGGAATATCTTCCAATTTCCTGGAATATATCTAAGTACAGTATTGAAGTGGTGGTGGTGGAGTGGGTGGGGGAACAGAAAAAGAATTAGCATCAAAATGAAAAAAAAAAAAACTTCAAAAGTACCAGAACTGATATTCTGGCAGTCATAGGGAGTAACATTTCAAATTTACTAAGGGTAACAACAAAAGAAAAGAAAAAAGAAAAGAAAGGGTTTCCAGCAACACAGGTCTAGCTTGGCCACTGTTTAAAATCTATTAGAACTGTTTATCTTTACTTGCAACCTTTGGATGTTTTGGTCTCCCAGTTCATCAGCTTCTGACAGCATACTAAAATCATACAGTTGTTATGCGAAATACCTGATGGGTCCCATGTTGCTTCTTTCTCATCTAGATGAAGCTGCATTTTAAACTTTGATCTGATGCATCCAAAAACATTAAGAGGCTGACCATCTAAGAAGAAAGGCTGAATTGTACGCTTTCTTTCATTGTCTAAATGTTTCAACTAATGATCTCATTAACAGTCCTTTGATAGCTTTATACAATGCATTAGAGCTACATGTAATCCAGAAAGGGTATGGGGAATAGGATTGGATTGTGGGTACTTTGCACTTGTTAAGAGAATTTAAATGTTAAAAGTAGGGTAGAGTTACATATACTGTACATGCCTAAGTGATCAAATCATTATATATCTAACATCTGGTCTGTGATCTCTGAGAAGCACGCCCATTTCAGCTGCTTTCATTTAAATCAAAAAGGAAGTGCAGTTCAAAAGATCCCCTCTCTCATTTGGAAAGTTTTTTATGTGTTTAATTTCCTTGGGGGGAAAAGGATAACTGGCCCACAATGAGACCGAGTGGCAAGATGGAAGGTGAGGTATTAAATATGTTGATGGACTGGTAATCAGAAGGTGGAACCTGAGGATTTCCCCACAAAAATACAGCTCTTTTATGAAAGCAAAAACTTCAGTAGTAAAGAGAGGAATACACATTAGTGATAAAATGTGTGATTGTGGCACCTTAATACACCTTAAGCAATTTATTATTTCTCACTGTGGAATTCTTAAGTTAACCACATTTCACTTATCTCCAAAGGATTTAAATTTCATTTTCTGAAGTTCTCTAAACAAACAATTGTTTGGTAATATTGTTCCAATAGAAATTGCAGGTGAGAAAATGGCAATCTATTGTATTTTTAGCCCAGCTATCTACGCGAAAGTTGTTCACGGGGTTGTACAACGAGTCAGTTTACAAGAATGAAGGAGTGCACTTTTTTTTTTTTTAACAAAACGAAAAATCCCCTGCATTTTAAAAAATTAAATTTGCCAGGAGAAAGTTATTTCTTAACCTTCTTCTTTGCGTGCTAGCTGTCTGCATGCAGCCTTTTCCTATTACTATATTTTTCAAGGGAAACATTATTTCTTAACACCTCACACCATCTATCCAACCCTCCCCCCCCAAAAAAAAAACCCCAAAACCCTCACATTTTTAGCACGTGGACTTGGCCTTATGCCAAAGAGCCACATCTATTGTGTTCAGTTTGAGAGGGAAAAGAATTGAACCAGGAAGGTCCTCTTTTGCTGCCATTGTCTCATATAACCAGGAGTATCTGCAGGGTATGGCCCAAAAGGTCAAGAGGGTGGCCACGATGATACAAAGCTCAACTTTTTTGTGTGTGTCCAGTGCACATAAATGACAAGCGGAGTTTGGATTGCACTGTTGTGGCTGCTATCTTGACTTTTTGGACCATACCCTGAGGAAGTCCTGCTTGTACAGATTATTTTCAGATTCACTATGAAAACCAACCTAAAAGTTCAAGTTTGTTACTGATGTCTCCCTCTGGTTTTCTCTTTTTTCTAGGCGTTCTCAGGAAGAAAGCTGGTGAGCCCCATGCTTTTGCCTTTCCCAAGACACACTTATTCAGAAAGTCAGGGCCTGGACATTCATGCTGCTTCATCGCACTCAAGATACGATCGGCCCTGCCATCTTGGGGTGGGGTAGGGAGACTGGGAAAGGAAAGCCTAATGTGGATCCAGGATTGAGATGGCAGATTTTTCATATTTGCCTTGGGATGAACTGGGCACCAGATGAGGCAGTGGCCTGAAGCTTGGCTCATAACAAGCTGATCTCGGCAGGTCTAATGTAGAACTCTTTGAAGAGCTAATTTATTTTTGAATTTGCAGGTTAAGAATCCCTTTCTTCTTATTAGACCCTCCTGCCTGACATTCACATTTCCTATATATTTGGCAGTAGCCTCCCATTTTCCCAATCATAGTTCTCTTCACCTCGATGGCTCTCTTCCTTTTTTTTATGGGACTGTACAGAGACTGCTGCTTTGCCAAAACCATAGTAATACTCTAAACCCTGAAGGACATATATGCTTTTCATGCAACTTTCCTTCTAACTTCAGCCAGGGCTTAATTTCTGACCAGAGAAGTGTTGTGAAGCCTTGCGTCTTTCTCTCTCTCTCTCTCATCAGCAAAAGAAATGGTTGTGTATACTCAGAAGCAGGCTTCCTACGATGTCATTTTCATGGCTTCAGATTAAATCTTGGTCCTGGAAAAAGTTCTCAGAACGGGGTGCTTTGGTACTAGCATCGTGCTGAAAAAAGTCTTCCGCACTTTATCATTCCCATTCAATGTGATGGCAAAGAAGAGCAAGGATGAAAGGTGGATTCCCTAGAGTTACCTTCGTAGGGAGATGTTCATGGGACATCTGCGAGTATTCAGTCTTCCATAATGGCATCATCTCTCCAGTGATGTGTGATCTCCTTGGCTTCCCATGCTTCAATCCATCCCGAGGGGAGGCACTGGGGAGAGCTTCTCCCGTGAGGTTTTTTTTTTAAAAAATAATAATAATCAGGAAATCAGGAAGCAACAAAACAGAATGACATAATGGGAAACAAAAGGCGCCCCCTTGCCCCCTCACAACCAGAAGGGCAGAGCATAAAGAAAGAATCCGAAAGTCTGCTGTGAACGAAGTAGAAAAACTGGAGCCTTTTTCACAGAGTAAGATTTAAAAAAAAAAATAACAACAATTTCGCAATGGTATTATTCCAGCTGAGATGGCTGGCAGAACTGCGAATTAGAATTGGGCATTTTGCCTTCTTTGGTGTCTTTTTGCTTGTAAGAAGTGGGGAGGGAGCGGTGTGATGGTGGGGAGGGATGGGAAGGGAAGGCTACGTGAAGAAGACCGTGTCTGCATCCCGTGCCAATTACTTTCAAATTCTTGTATAAAGACAGAATGATTGCATAAGAGAAGAAGAGCTTTGCCCGCAAGCATCCTGACAGAAACCTGGTTTGTATTAAGTTTTGGCTCCAGTTTTCTCAATCTAAACTCAGTTTGCAAGTTCTAGCAGTCCCACCACAACTGAAACGGCCATGTTAGGTCCCACTGGGATAAGCCTTAAGTAGGCATGGTGTACGACAGCTACCCTTTATGGCAATAGGGTGAACATAGCAGCACAGAAAGAACTAAATACTCTTGCTTGGTTATATCAACGAGCTTAAAATTGTAGCAACAAGGTAAAGAATTAAAGGTCTTCACCTTCACCAAAAGCTCAATTCTAAGGGTTGTTTGTGGGACAGCCAGGGTGAGAATCAATCCAGGCTTCTACTTTAGCCATACCACTTATGAATGCAGGGAGCATGCTCTGCAAATACAGGGTCAATCTTTGCATCACTAGCTGCATGCTGAACTACAATTCCCAGCATCCCTTGCCATTAACCTTGTTAGCAAGTGCAACCAGGGGGTGCAGTTCAGTCACACCTATTTGTTTACTCTTCCCTGAAGTTCAAGAATCAAACCAGTGGGGGATCCACAACAAATCTGTTTCAATCACCGATGACTCTGATCCCCAGAGGATGCTCCCTCAGGTTTGATGAACAGTCTGATTCAGCTTTGTATTGCTTCTTAACTATGAAGAATTAATAAGTTTGATCATCATCAAGGGATGACTTTGATCTGAAAAAAGGAAACTTTTTTAGTACATTGTAACCTGCATGTTATTTGAGTTGTTAAAATTCTTTTAACCAAGACTTTGTTGTGTGGGCTTTATTTATAGACTTACACCCAGAACTATTTTGTGATCTATATAAAGAATTATAGCACATGCAAGATCCTGTTGAAAACAAGGATGGGGATGTGTGCACAGTAAAAAAAAAAAAAAAAAAGGAGCATTTCTGTTATAGCACTTTTCCCCCCCAACTTGCTCCACCTGTATTGTATTACTATTCCTAACTCCCATTGGGCATTAACAAGACCGGAGAAACAAATAGACATAAATCAAGAAGGAAAGGGATCCTAGTTCTTTTTCAAGTAGCTGTTTTTGTGCCATTCAAACCAGTTTCACCTGCAGGCATTAGCAGGTGACCAGAATGCTTATTTCTATTCCATGCATTTTTCTTCCTGCTGATTTCTGAAGATGAGGAAGAATTGCTTAAAAGTTCTACTGTCCTTAGAGTGTTTCGCCCAGTTTTGAAGCAATAGGCCCATCTCAATAAATGAAAATGGTTCTAGAAAGCTTGCAAATGCCTTATCAAATGGGTTTTGTTCCTCAGCCAACAGCAGCATTCTGACACAGAAAATAAGCAGGGGATTCTTGTAAAGTCTTGACAATAAAAGGAATGAATGTCCCCTAAATTTCTACATTTCACCAAAGGGCACACAATCTGAAGGCCCTGCCAACTTCATACAGACAATGTCCTCTGAATTATGCTAGGCTATAATTCCATTCTGGGTTAACTCACCTGAGAATTAAGTCAGTCTCCTGAGACCTCAATAGCCTTAAGAATCTAAAAAGCACTGCCTCAAAATGCAGTCCCGTTGCTTAATTTCCTTTGAAATGTTTATGCCAGGAAACAACAAAGCTGAAGACTTTTTGCTTCTTTCTTCACTCCAGATGTATCTTTAGGACAGGCACCAAGGTTAATTCCCCCCCCCCACTGTTGCATTTGAGCCATTGTGACATCAGAGTAAACTGCACCAATAAGGGACAGTTTTCACATTTAACCCCACCCACTCCCAACAGCAATCAGGTTGTAAGCAATATCCTGCAATAAAAAGAGCCATCTTAGGATGGGAGGCTGAGAAACTGAATCAAAATCAGAATCAGAATAGAGCTGGAAGGGACCTTGGAGGTCTTCTAGTCCAGCCCCCTGCTCAAGCAGGAGTCGCCATATCATTTTGGACGATGTGGCTGTCCAGTCTCTTCTTAAAAACCTTGAAGGGTCCCACAGATGTTCTAAAATTTTGCAGTGGACTATGTGATGCAATATGAGAGCCAATTGGGTTGAGTGATTAAGGTGAAAAACTAGGAGGAAGGAAATCCAAGTTCTCATCCTGGTAACTTTGACCCAGTCACTCTTTCTCAGCTCTAGGAAGAAGGCAAAGACAAAACTTTCCCCCAAAAAATGCTCCTTGGAAAATTGCTTTGATTTGTCCATTGTAGGAACCGGGAGTCAAGATCGACTCAAAGGTAACAAAAATAATAAAGGAGGTAAATTTTCAAATAAATAAATAAATAGTATTTTTCAAATGTATACCTTCCTCATCAATTGAAAATAGATCTGAAGATGAGACTTTGAGCATGGGGGTGACGCAACATCTCGCTGTACAAATCCCCAATGATCTTAGAGTAAATGCAGATGGACAGTTTAACAACATCTGGAGGATGGTGCCTCACCACAGTGCAATCAAGGGTCTGTCCATGTTTTAGATATGTGCTGGAGCTTCAATAGCCCAATTTTGGCTACTATCTTGTCCTTTCTGACCACATCCTGCAGACACTTCGAGGTGTTACAACTCCTCTCTCTATATTGTGCGACAGTTTGCTTTGCAATCTGCATGATAACCTCAGGACAAGTGAGGAACCGGTTGTTTTGGGTCGGATAGCAAAGTCACAAACAGTGGACAAGATGCTTTGCTTTTACTAACTACAGGTATCTGACGAGACAACCCTTCCAAAACTCCAACTTATGCAGTCCAATTAGATACCCCTTGATTTTTATTTTTATTTTTAAAAACCCACAACTTCTCCGTTTTGGGGCATTTTTATTCCACTATCTCTGCTTTGGGTTCCTCACCTCCCTTGGGACCGTACAACATGCAAAATTGGTTCTCTCATAAGGTAATAGATGCGGGGAGGTGACAATAAAATTGAAAAATCTATCTGCCACTTGGTCCATCCAGAACTCTCCAGGTTCCGCTGCAAGAGTGAATTTTGTTGGTCAATGTTGGAGAAGGATTCAGCTGCCAGCATGTGGCAAGCAGCAGGGCACCATCTTTATACCCAACACATATAAGATACTGTAGAAAAGGATATAAGATAAAATAAGAGAAGAGCCTGGCAGGTGGGCCAGAGAGTCTCCTTTCCATGTATGTTCTCCCAAGCTTCTTCACATACATTGGACTATGATCTTTTTCAACTCTCTGCTTCCATGCCCTTCAAAACAATTTCATCTGCTGGCATTAACAAGTGCATTTTTTGTTTGCTTGTTTGATTCTAGCAGCCAGATTTCTTGAATCTGTCCTACTTCTTCAGAGTCATTTCAGTATCCTTTCCTGAGTTAGCCACCTTGATTACATCTTGACATGGAGGTACCATTGCACCAGTGAACTAGACTAGGTATTCCATGCTGGGGTACCAAACTCTGTTTTCCTGGCGCAAGGTCACCAATACTCCTCACCTCAGGCTTAGGTTCTAGGCCATCATGATTTGCATAGGCAGAAATTCAAGCCTTGTTTCTCCAGGCTAGAAGTGGGAAAACCTGGTTGGACAACACATCTGCAAAAAAGAAGCTATGTTGGTGAGATCCTGCATGACCGGCAGATGTGGCTACCTGCTGCTCGATGTGGAGGTGTGTGGGATGGCGCCTATG